CTAGATCTGTCACTTCTTAAAAAGAGAGACACACTTAGGGATATTTTTGGAACATGATGTACAAGGAGCATGCAAAGACAAATGTGTTTACAACAAAACATTTCATATAAACACAGAGGACACACATACAGGACATTATATGACATAACCTTTACATATATGTATTAAGCAAGCTTGAGTTGAGTGGCATTTTGATTGTAACTGCTGGTTAAGCAGTTCTCTATTTGATTGCAATATTGCTCCACCTTTAAATGGTGTATTTTATAATGTGAAGAGAAGGGAGAACATGACCGGAAGAAGCAGATTGCTAAAAAGTGTATCAGAGTGTGCCCTGAAACAGACTCCCTATGTGTCACTTAAGCTACCACTGGCCACAGCTTTCCCTGAAGAGTGATCTGGACATAAAGTTAGGGGATTGACTCACCAGGGCACTCTAGGAAATGTTTAAATAGCACTATATGTCCTCTACAAATACAACACTGTACAAACACGGATCTTAATAAATGAATATTAGAATTGAATTGGTGTCAATGTGTTAAAGTTCTCCACTGTGCAATCACTTCTGTTAAGAGTACAAGCAACGAAATGACCTTCAGTGCTAAATTGCAGGAGGTGATTTAGCAAGGGTTTTCTTCTGTAGTACCTGCTTTGGAAATGCATGTCCCAACTCAAATCACAGGCATGATAGCTTTCGGATGAAGGACAGAGGTCATCACTTCATCAATAGCATGTCTAGAAAAATGTACTCTGGAGAATCTAGATGTGTTCTTCAATTTACTGTCCCGCGATCCAAGTTATATTTTGAAAAATAAAATATAAGTTTATATTTTGTCTTTGATTTAAATTTGTCATAACAATGAAATTCCATCATAAAAATATCAAAATATATTTTTTTAAATTTTGAAAATCTGGAGTTTGAAACGATCGTTGCATATCAATATATCATATGTATGTGACTGACTGACTGACTGACTGACTGACTGACTGACTGACTGACTGACTGACTGACTGACTGACTGACTGACTGACTGACTGACTGACTGACTGACTGACTGACTGACTGACTGACTGACTGACTGACTGACTGACTGACTGACTGACTGACTGACTGACTGACTGACTGACTGACTGACTGACAGACAGACAGACAGACAGACAGACAGACAGACAGACAGATAGATGCAAAATGCCCTGATCATAATTCTCATAGGCAATGTATTTGAACAATGAAAAATTAAGCAATGCCTATTACAAACAACCATCTGTCAAGAACCAAACATTGTGGATGTCAGGGTCACAGAGAATGTTATATTAAAAAATTCTGACAGCCGTCCAACCTATTAGCAGATTGAGTCATATTCTTCTGCTCCACAAGTCAAGAACAAGAAAATCAATAGTTGATGACATTAGATTTCTTTGCCATATTTCTCTCTTTTTGCACAAACACAGAGCTTGAATAAACAGCAAATGAAAATCTCATGAAACAGCATGTATGATCCAAGCATCACTGCTTTGGCACAGGCATGAAATCTACATGGATATAAACAAGACAAAAACACTCCACAATGGCTATAGCCATCAGTGCTTAGCATGAGAATATAATGGTGAAAAGCAGGGAATGGATCCCTGTGGCAACAACAACAAATATGCATGCATGCATTTCTCAAGGCACATAAGCATTCGATCTTCCCACCAGTGTAGCATAATTTAAAGATTGCATATTTGCAGAAAATGTCTTCTGCCTCGAAGATTTCTGCGTGTAGCCACTTGTCTGCTACACACTGGCCTCCCAGCTAACAGCAGCTTCAGCTGCAATCGACTAGAATAAATTACACAGCACAACTGTGATTACATTTTCTACTACATTTGCCATCCGGCTCATTCAGCTGTGGCATCGCCAGCGTGGATGGGAGGGCACCAGGAGCCAAAGCAACCGTACACTTGTGTTGACAAGAAAATAGCAGTTTTATGTTTGCAGTGTAGCGCAAATAGCAAATTTTTAATCTGTGTGGAAAATCCTAACTTGACACAGGTGGCATGGAAACATTTTTACAGATATCACACATGCTCTCTATTATCATAACTCTGCAATCATAAATATTAGTATATTTATTATATTATTAAACTTTCATTATGCTGTCTACACATGAACAGCTACTGTATAATAAGTTATATGGGGACATTTGTTCTTTTATGGAGGTGTAGACATAAGGACTATATTTAGGGGATAATCTATAGCAAGTGTGTTTTTAATCACAAAGTAATCACGGCCATGGTCACCTTGAAAGGATTTATTTTGCAAAAACTAACTATTATCACACTTATTTAATAGATTATTACCTAACAAATATCATAATAAATGGAAAATATATTTATCATATACTGATATATACACTACCATTCAATAATTTGGTTTTTGAAAGAAATTAACACTTTGATGCAGCAAGCAAGCATTTAATTGATCAAAAGTGACAGTAAAGACTTTTTTGTTAAAAAAAAAAATGTCTACTTTAAATAAATGCAGTTCTTTTGAACTTTGTATTCATCAAAAAAAAGTTTTTACAGTTTCTTAAAATTTTTAAGCAACAACTATTTTCAGCATTGATGATAATAAATAATGGCGGTACTAATAAGAAATGTTTTCTGGGCACCAAATCAGCATGTTACAATTATTTTTTGAAGTACCACGTGACAATGAAGATTGGAGTAATGGCTGCTGAAAATTCAGCTTTGCGGTCACAGGACTAAATTACATTTTAATATATTTTCATGAAAAATGGAAAACAGTCATTTAAATTTCATTGTTGTCAGTCAAATCAGTATATTTGAATGATGACAATGAAGATTGGAGTAATGGCTGCTGAAAATTCAGCTTTGCGGTCACAGGACTAAATTACAAACAGAATCGGAAGCAAGTGGCAGCCAAAACAGTCATTTAAATTTCATTGTTGTCAGTCAGATTCAGATATGCTGGTTCTCACCAGGCAGTTCTTTTGGGATTTCTTGTAGATCAATTTCAGGATCCCCACTTAGGGTTACTGAAAATAAAACATCAATTGTGGTTTAAAGATTTACCACAAAGATAGAACCTTAGGTTATCAAGGTTAAGAACGGTCAATAATAACTTTCATTAAATCCCACAAGCACTTTGATCCAGTTTACTTACTGCAATTACAGAACAATCATTGGCAAGTCACCCAACAAATAGCCATGGAAACAAAAGGAGATCGACAAACATGCTGAGCAGGGCCATGACTGCAGCCATGTATATGTCCTATATAATCCCTTACAGATGAGAACAGGCAGGGACAGAAGTAAACCGCTTCTAGACACTGTATTGATCTTCAGATCAGATGTTCAGTGCTCCATGTGGATGTCATGTGATCCATTACCACCACAGGTATATGCTGAGCTCAAATACATTTCACCCTGTTTATCTCTCCTTTTTTGACCGAGCGAATGAAAGAGACAGACAGTGAGCAAGAATAAGACAAAATAGGACAAGAGTTGCAGGTCCCAGTGGCTAACATGTCATCTAACAACTGACTAGTCAAACACAGTGAGATCTTTATGCAAACACGTCCTAAGAAATATATATAATCGGGGTCATTTTGACTACTGGACTAGTATTCAGCTATTTGTTCCTTACAACCTAACAAACTTTGCCTAACTAGTTGCCTAACCTAACAACTAATGTAGTTCTGCCCATCCCTACTACACACAAGGTGAGAAAGGAAGCAAAAGAAAGTAAGAAAAGAGGACAAAATAGACAGATCAAATTAAACCTGTGGAAAACGCTGGAGGAGGAGGAAATGAAAAAAAGTATTTTGAAATGCTAAGTGATTTCTGAAGTGACTTGTCTCTTCATCTGCCCTGCATTCTTCCCTTCTGCTCATTTGGTGCCATGTTCATCATATCAGCTCACAGCACGTGTTCTTTCATGATGCACATGATTCATGTGCTGCTCTGACAGCACATCACCACTCACTACTGATTCTCACATGTTTCAGTTGACTATAGAGGATAAGATGCACTATTTTCACCTATTTGTCAACAGAACGTGGGTAGTTGACACGACATGTCAAGCAGTGACAGCAGTGTCCTCCAGTGAGACATGCCATTCTAAAACTATTTGAAAAAGCATATTTCTAATCATACAACATCACTAGTCTTCTACTTTGGATAAATATTGTTACAATAGTGATGAGACATTTCACGTTCTACTTTGTTTGCAGGGGTTCAATTGAAAGAAGTCTCAAATCTGGCGCCAATTCAGGCTCCCTATAGGCAAGATATGACAGACCCTCAAGTTAAGGGACTCGAGTCATTATCATTACATAAATTGCTTCAGAATCATCCAAGACCCTCCTGGCTCACATCAGAGGCCTGATAATCTTGTCTTATTTTGTGATAATGATCAAGTGACTGCATATTACGCATTACATAACTTCTTGTTCACAGAACTGTTGTATAAAAGACTTTGCCTATAGGCCTATTGCAGGGAACATCAAAAAGGTGATTAAATAAAGTGAAATTTAAGCAAAATGGTGAGCAATTTCAGCATCTAATAATATATATTTTTATATATTAATGTCAATTTATTTTTACAAAAAATAATTTAATTTAAATGAATAATTTAATTTAATATAATTTTAATTGCATCACAAAAACAATTAAAATCTTGAAAAAATGTATCATGGTATCCACATAAATATTAAGCCACAAAGCTATTTTCAAAATTGATAAACATAGGAAATGTATTCCTCTAATATGCAAATCAGAGGATATTAGAGCATATTAGAGGAATAAATTACATTTAAAAATATAGAAAAGTTTTTTTTATCAAATAAAGGCCTTCTTTCAAGTCCAAGTACTAAAAAAAGGCCATTGTACTAAGATGTCAGACAAACTAGAGTGAGATTTAGAGCTAGTTTTGTTTCACCATATCTTTGTGTTTGTGTGCAAATGCCTGAAGGAGTATGTCTGTTCCTTACCATAGTGGCAGTGAAGGGAATGTTGTCTATAAGAGAGGAGGCCAGTGCTGAGACCCACATGACCAAAATGATGGCGATGGCCAACCGCTCATCCTCTGGCACTGCCTGGGAGAGAAGATAACAATAAAATATGTCACAACCAAACGCATGCACACACAGGCACATAGATGCCAACACAAAGGTGGGAGGGTTTGCAGACAATGTGTTCATGACACAGTCACATTGGATTCATTATTTCATGCTCTGTTGCTTTCATAAACCGAAACACAAAACAACACATGTACACAAACAGACATAAACACACACTCTTCACCATATGCCTGTTTTCAATCCAGCTATAACGTATGTGAAAACGCACCATAGCTTTTACATAAGCATGTAGGAATGCTGTTTATTAGAACACGGTTTTATTTCAGTCATTTCCCCACTATTTCTCTCTTTGGTTGTTCATCTACATGGTCAGATTTTGGGGGTCCTGGTGCTGCTGATTGGATTGAATGCATCAGAGCCCCACAGCAGCACCTGTCATGAATAATTACTCTGATTGTAATAGGCCCACACAGCAAACACAAACTGACAGGTCTATCAGAGTGTGATTGCCAGCCAGGCAGAGCTGGACACCTCCAGACCTCTGGAAATCTCTCTATTTATGGCCCACACAACCCTACTATTGGATCAAAGATAACAATAATTTGAGCCAGCCACATTATTTAATGAGGTTCATTTGGCTGGTTGACATTGTTTTTTTTTTTAAGTGTGTTAATGCAAGCTCTCAGAATTATGGTCCATGTATGAAAGAAGATATAGAGTAAAACAGCGCCCGTCCACTTTTTCAGGAGCCTTGGTTTTTACACTGAGGCAGAAACAGACCTTTCCCTCAAAATCCGATCATGAGTGGTCACAGGAGACACATCTGAAGCATGTTACATCAAGGTCTAAACAGCATGTGTCGCCTTCCCACTTGTGATCGTATCACATACCTTATACCTGTATCATATACCACATACATATTTTAATACCACTTTTTGGATAGATTTTGTGCTGATTGCATAACACCTTTAGTGAGTCGAGCACCAAAGCAACACAGACAGCCCATGCAAATATAAATTCCTAGTGAAATCCCCCCAAAGTATTAAAGTACCAAATACTTCTGGAGCAAATACTCACTTTTATCAACACTGCTGTCTGCTCCCCGATGTAGTCGATGAGCTGCAGCTGGGCTAGGGCCTTTAAAAATACACCAAAGAGAAAAATCAAGCCATAGACCAGAAACCAAAACAACAGACATTTAACCTGACAGCTCTGATTTTCCATCTTTTAAATGGAAGTGGAATATCAGAAATCATAAAATTTTTTCTCAGCGCTTGCAGTACACACTGGTATGAGTGACTGTGAATGTTGGCTCTGCTATAGAGGGCAAACAGTTTATCTTGGAGCAGTGTTAAGCTCCCCACTGGGCCCAAGGGGAGGGCTTCCCTGTGTGAATAATGTTCTCCTAACAAAAGAAAGGATTAAACCAACACAAACAGCAAACCCAGCATTTCTGCTGCTGACATGCTCACTTTCTCCTTACTTCGACTCCCAATCTCAAGTCACCCTCTTTCTCCTTCTTTATTTATGAATGTGATAGATAAAAATAAACATAAAAATGGCCTATTATATACACTATTAATATTTTATATTTCATAACAATGGGGGGGGTATAAAAAATAGATATAGATATATAATAAAAATTTATAGATAGATAGATAGATAGATAGATAGATAGATAGATAGATAGATAGATAGATAGATAGATAGATAGATAGATAGATAGATAGATAGATAGATAGATAGATAGATAGAGATTAAAATAAGAAAGTAGAAATAGAACACTTTTTCTTACAATAATTGATAAAAATCTAATTTAACTTTTTTTTATTTAAATCCTAATTTGGGGGAATTTTAAAGGGGTCATATGATGTTGCTAAAAAGAACATAATTTTGTGTATTTGGTGTAATAAAATGTGTTTATGCGGTTTAAGGTTAAAAAAACACATTATTTTCCACATACTGTACATTATTGTTTCTCCTCTATGCCCTGCCTTTCTGAAATGCATCGATTTTTACAAAGCTCATCGGTCTGAAAAGCGAGGTGTGCTCTGATTGGCCAGCTATCTAGTGCGTTGTGATTGGCCGAATACCTCAAGCGTGTGACGGAAATGTTACGCCCCTTACCATATTTTGATGCCCTGTCCGGCCAGAGCGACGAGACAAAAACATTAAAACCCATTGTAAACGAGGCATTTGTTGCATCCAGTGGAACATAATTACGGATTATAATGACTTATACTGTCTTTTTA